TTAGGAATGAGAGGGAGGAATGCTGCCGAGTGCGTCTGGGCGCAATACTGCTGGTTTTATAAACAGCTGAAGGGCCGAACCTCATCCATTTGGGTGGGGAGGCCCCTGGGGGGGGCGCAGGGAGGGAGCATGCTCTCTAAACTCAGCTGCTCCGGGATAAATGTGCAGCCTCCCATGCCGGCCTTAGCGCAGGCTTGCTGCGATTCCCGCTGCAAGTCGGCGCGAGCGATGTATTTTTTGGTTTTAATTGTTTATCGGCATCGCGGCTTTTCATTCAAATTGTGGTTTTGGCGGTAGCCGTGTCCCCTGGGTCGGTCAGGTAATCGGAGGGGGGTGATTCACCTCCTGACTGCAGAAAAGGTGAATTATGAAGGAAAACAGGGTTTTGAAGTCTTCCCAGATATAAAGTCAGGTATGGCCATCTGCGTGGTGGCGTTTGCTCGCTGTAAGCCCGGGTGGAAATCAGGGGTTGGACCCTTCCCATCTCTACTCGTGCGAGCGATTCCTGCTTGCCCCTGTAATCCCGTTGACCTTGCTTGGCGCGAGGATTTCTCCTGCGAGCGAAGCTTGGCACCCAGCCTCCTGCCTGTCCCTTAGTGCGTTTGTGGAGCTGCTGCCTGCGCTTTCCCCGACGTTTCTTCCAAAAATGAGCTGTTCCTCCGGGCCGTTTGTAACTCCCATAGCAAAACCTGGATCCGTTGAGTTCCTCTTTCTCACCAAACGCCCCTCCGTGCGCCTTTCTCATGGGATGGACATATCCGTGCATCCTGCCGGAGCAGGACGTGCGCTTTTCCGAGCCGTACAATCCTGTTGGCGGCGGAGGGAAGGGTAGCTGAGGTTTGCAACCAAGAACTGTTGGGAAGCAGCTTTTAGTCTCCAGTGTTAATGCTGTCTTCTTCATAAAACCACCTGTATCTTTTTTTTTTTAATCGCTCCTATTCAGCACCCATTTCACCGTCTGGCATTTGTCACTTGCCTGGCAATGGAATCACACCAAGTTCTTCTGAAAAGCAGCGTCATCATCTAACCTTGCGTTACTCTTTACGGTTTGAATCCCATTGTTTGCTTAACTAATTTGGGCTCAATTCCCTCCCAGGCTGGGGCTGAGGTGGCTCCTGGTACGTTTTCCTGGTGTTTGCTGACTTGGAAATGGTGGCTCCCTGCATGTAGGTGCCCCACCAGCATCCTTGTTGATGTTGGGGACGTGGCGACAGTGGTGTGCAAGGGACCGCGGGGTGACGGCGGTGCACAGCCTAAATAGGACGTAGGAGCCGGCTGTTAAGACGTGGTGTGGTCACCTTCGGTGAAGCATGGGTGAAATCCTCCCGTCTGGCGAGGGGTGTCACCACGATTTAAGCAACGCTAGCCTGAATGCAACGTGCTGGTCTAACGTGCCGGAGCAAGTGTCTGAATTGACTTAAATGGTGGGTTTACTCGCGAGGAACGAGTTGGTTTTGTACGTGCGAGACCGGTTGCTTGCCCCAGTCCCGTTGGGGAGGTGGGAAAACTTGAACGTTACCCCTAGTTTGCGGCCGTTAGAAGGAGGTGGCAGCTCTGCTGTGTTCCTTGGTGGATGGGCACCGTCCTTGGCGGTATCATCACCAACAGCTGAGATCAGGAGGGGGCCCAGACGGAGACCGGAGCATGAAATCCTCACTGGCTGGTGGAGCTGGGCTCACGAGCCTTCGGGTGTGTGAACCAGGCATGGAGGAAAACTCCTCTCAGCAAAGGTGTCCAGGTTGTTTCTTGCCTGGTGGACTCCAAATGAGAGGTCTGCTGTACGGCAGATGAGATGGGGAAAACCTCAAGGAAGAAAATAACTCTTTTTTAACGCGTTAATTAACATGGAGAAGCAAGTATATTTATTTTGGAGGAGTTCTATCTTATTTCTTTCCCCAAGTGTAAGGGTGTTTTCGATAACGGCAGCCGAGCCCTCCTCGCTAGGACCGCAAACCTGATGTGGCTCCGCTGTGTACAGCTGCATATGACCCCCAAAAAGGCCTGAGGAGCCTCCTGCTTCTGTGGCTCTTTGGATAGCTGCTCGAGCACGGAGGGGTGGATATAACCACGTTGCCCACCTCGGATGAGAGACGTCTTGCAAGAAAGCTTACACCGGTGTCTGGGAGCACACCGGAGATGTGACTACACGTGGCGCAGGGGCTGCGCAGGTGGCTGCGAGACCACCTGCAATCCGTAGTGCATTTACAGGTATTGCTTGATCATAAAGGTAAAATAGAAGTGAGAAGCAAAGACGGAAGGAAACCTGTACGTTTCTTCACTGGGTGAAGCGTACAGCTTGTGGTTATCCTCCGTGGTGGCTATGAGTAGCGTCACAGAGCTTTAATGGTTTAACTGGTGAAGAACGTGGGTTGCTGCTAATTCAGTTTGAGCGCGAATGGCTTGGCCTGCCGTGCATGGAGAAGAATATGGAAACCATATTATCCGTGCACAGAAATAGAAGTTTCAGGTATTACACAGCGCTATTTAAAAGCCTGCTATAACTTCCTTCCTTCCTTCCAGCCTGGCCTCGCTGGGCGGCTTCGGTCTCAGCTGCTTGGAGCCGTCAGGACGCGGCTTTCCGCCAGTAAAGGTCAGGCAGGAGCGTAACGTGCCCTGTGGTGGGAGCGGGACCCGTGCCTCTCCTGCGCCCGCCGGCTGGAGCCGAGATGGCGAGGGGTGCCGGGTATAGCCGCTCTGCGGGTTACAGACCCAATGAGGGGACGGGGGCTGCTGTATCCACCAAACCTGGTCCGTCGGCTTTTGACATTGAGTGCGGGATGTGCTTCTGTTCCCACCTGCTCAGGCGTCCGCTCTCTGACGGCCAGGGGTGTGACTGGGATTTTCTTGGGACTTCCAGAGTAGTCCCACATTCCATCCCACCAGCCCTGGCTTCGGAGCTGCCGCGGCTTCCTCGCTCCTGTGGTCTCTGCCGGCCGACGGAGATGGCCAGAGGCTCCTGTGGGTCCTCCAGGCATCCAAACACCCATCCGCGCTGATGGTAGCTGAGTGACAGCTCTTGGTTTTGAAGGACAACAAGCTTTCTTTGCCCCGTGCACAGGACATTAACTACCTCACATGTTAAGGCCAAAATCTTTATTTCATTTCGGCAGGCTGTCAAGTATCACAATGAGAGCATCAAAATGACCTAGATTTCTCGTCCTGGGAAGGACTGGCTGGAGGAGGAGACGAGGGTTGCAGGGAGCAGTAATGTCTTTAATTAGACCAAGTGATGCAGCTGGAAAAAATGGCCAAGCACGAAGGTGCGCCAGCTCAAAGGAGGGCTTGTATGGTTGTGGGGTTTTTTTTTTCCCCCCAGCTGTACCAGCTGGTCTATTAAAAGGTATGACATGTTCCTGCAGACCTCGCCTCTTATATCCTTAGGTCGTTGTTGCTGCCCTACAACTGTTGCTGCCGCCCCGGCCGCAGGCAGTCTCCCAGCTCATCGGGAAGCTGCTACCCTTCCGCTGTGTGAATTT